GCGGCGGCCGCGGGAAGAGGACAAAGAGATTTGAGGAGGAGGAGGAGGAGGTGGAGGTGGAAATAGTTTGTGATGATGATGATGATTCATGCACCTTGGGATCCTGCAGGCGGCCAATCTCCTCCGCCTCCCTCCGCCGGTCGTCCGCCTCGATGGGCAACTGCTGCTCGAGCAGGGCAATCTGGTCGCGAATGTAGGGGCCCCATTGGAGCACCTCGGCGCCGCCCGAGGTGAAGCCCTGCAGCGCCTTCTTCAGCAGTCGAATCTGACTCTCGGCCTGGTTCGCTGACGGAGGCGTTGAAGAACCACCAGCAGCACCAAACCCTCCCGCTTTGATGGCCCTCGCGTAGGTGGCAAAGGCGGCCTCCTCGTGCCGTCCCAGCCTCGCCAGCGACTCCTGCACCGTCGCTCCCTCCTGTGCTCCTTCGCCGGTGTTGCGCAGGAAGAGCAGGTAGTGGTCGGAGGCGACCGGCCGCCGGCTGATCTCGTAGTGGAAGAGACTCGCCTTCAGCGTCTCCCGCAGAAAGAGAATGACCCGCGTGATGACGTAGGGGCGGCCGGTGAGGAGGGCGTAATCGAGCAGCTCCAGCTTCTGCTCCTTCCCGCGGAAGACCGAGAGGTTGATTTGCTGCGAGTTGGATTGCTGGTGGTCAGTTTCCGCTGAGGCGAGCTTCTCGATGGCCATTCGAGGTGACAGGGTGGTGGTGCTGGTGGTGGTGGAAGTTGGAGAAAAAGAAGACGAAGTGGAAGGCCCTCGATCACCGCCGATGGTCAACTCGACCAGCTCGGCGACCTTCCGCGCGGCGTTATTGCACTTGAAGTCTGTAAGGGTTCGAAAGAGGAAGGTTAGTTTTGATGAAACGAAAAGCAAATGGACTTACCAAATAGTGAGGAAGAATTTGAAGGTAGCTCGTTTGAAAATGAGGATGATGATATTGCACCATGTGGATGTGGTAATACTGGCTTTTTCTGGCTAAAACCACTACTTGGAGGTGTTTTCGGCGGCTGGGCCCTCGTTGAAAGACTGCTGGAAGACTCGGGTAGGCCACTCAATGATTCAGTTGGCTAAGGTGGTGGTGAAACAAAAATGTAAGTAAAAAGTAAACACCAACTTTAGCAAACAAACCTCCTCATCTTCAAAGTCGAAAAAGTTCTTCTTCGCTGCTCCCGAGTTGGAGTACCCCGAGGCGAAGAAGTCCTCCTCTCCGCCAAAGTCGTATCTGTGATAGAAAAAAACGAAAGAAGTTAAGGTGAATTGCTCAACTTTTACAAAAGTGCAAATTACTTTTGCGACATCGTCTGACGCCGATCATCGAGTGCATTGAAGTGAGGATGGCAGTGAGTACTCAGTCGTTGGATGATGATGATTATGCAGAGTGTGCAGTTTTTCTTCCTTATCACAAGGATACTTTTTTAGCCTCTCCAGAGATCAACAAATTAGATAGAAACAAAGTCATCAACATCCAAAATCGATGATGATGATGATGCTGACAAGAAATCACAACAACAACAACAAATTCAGAGCCAACTCACAACAACCGTTACCCAGCAACATCATCAGCTTTTGAAAAGTAAATGAAGGCGATTTACTGCTGCAATTATTCAGTCAAACAGTGAAAAAAAGAATGGTAGAAAAAGAGTCCAAAGTTAATTACAAAGTACAAAGTGTGTGTGTGTTAATTTACACGGAAAGGGCGTGAAATGAGAGGGGAGGGAGATAGAGCTGAAGATCAGGAGGAACGGCATCTGCGCAAAAGAGAGAGAGAGAGAGGGAGAGGGAGATATCTTCTCTAAATCGAAATCCAAGTCTGTAAAATGTTTCTTTGTATCTGACTGTGTCGACTTGGGAAGGGATCATCACACGTTTTCGAAACAGAGAGAGAGAGGAGCTGAGAAAACCGTCTTTCACCACCACCAGAAAGTAGTTGCTGAAGAAAAAGAAAAGGTAGAATGGAAAAAAAGTGGGAAAGAATTTGGAGAGAGAGATAGGAAAGGGTCTGAACTTNAAAAGATAGAGCTGAAGATCAGGAGGAACGGCATCTGCGCGAAAGGGAGAGAGAGAGGGAGATATCTTCTCTAAATCGAAATCCAAGTCTGTAATAATGTTTTTGTGTATCTGACTGTGTCGACTTGGGAAGGGATCATCACACGTTTTCGAAGCAGAGAAGCTGAGAAAGCCGTCTTTCACCACCACCAGGAGTAGTTGCTGAAGAAAAAAGAAAAGGTAGAATGGAAAAAAGTGGGAAAGAATTTGGAGAGAGAGATAGGAAAGGGTCTGAACTTCTGTACAGGGAAATCATCAGCATCAACGTAAAAGGCGCATCAGGCTATACACAAAGTTGAGGAGAGGGTGGAAAGTAAAATCTGACAAAAGGAGGAGGAAAGTGAAAGAGGGGAGACGAGGTGAAAAAGAAGAAAAAGAGAAGATTTTGAGATGTTCTCTTTAGTAGAACCGCTTTCGCGACGACTCCTGCTTCTTCTGGTAGAGCACGTAGCCGACGCCTCCCACAATGGCCAGGCCAACTATCGTCAGCAGGCTGTAGAAGAAGAACTTGAGCCAGCTGGTGGGCGGGGGCAGGTCGTGGGCGTGGTCGCGGTGAGGAGCGGCGTCCACCGCCGAGGGAATGATCAGCGAGCGGTCCTCGCGCGAGGCGCTGTACGGCGCGTCGAGCATGTACGTCTTGATGCTGATGACGTCGTGGTTGTCGCTCAGCTCGCCGGTGGCCGCCGTCACGCCCATGTAGAGGCCGGTGGGCAGGCGGACGCCCTCGGCGTGGAAGCACTGCTCCCAGTTCCCCGAGCCATCGACGTCGGTCCGCAGCGTCAGCGAGTCATTGTAGTAGCGAATGCTGAGGTAGGTGTCGTGGTCGACGCCGCGAAACTTTGACTCGCAGCCGGCGAACTCGGAACTGGGTGGAAATAGAAGCGTTAGGTTAATCGATGATGGAAAGATTAAGGTTTCGACTTACTGCGTCCCATCTCGATCATGGTCGTAGCTGATGGTGGCGTTGTTGATCATCGCCGAGATGTAGGGATGGGTGTGCGAGTGGGCACCGTTCTGGTTGGCGTACGTGTCGAGGAAGATGCCCAGGCCGAAGAAGTAGTCGGCGCTGCCGAAGACGTTGCCTGGAGGATAAAAGATTAAAGTTGGTTTGATTTTTTTTTTACTAGAACTTCGAAAACTGTTCACTTACCGGCCTGCATCGGGTGCTTCACGTACCAGAAGGCCATGCCGTCGCCGAAGAGCTCCTTGCCGTGGCCGGCCACCTTGAACTCCAGTATCACCTCCCAGTTGGGAAAGTAGATTGGCTAGAGAAGAAATTAGAGCCGACTTAAAATCCACCTTGAAACTAGAAAACCAAAAGCCAAAAACTTACAACTTTGTTCCAGATGCCGCCCAGGCGACTCTGCGTGTCCGTGGTGAGGCGAATGAAGCTGGTGGTGACCATGGTGTTGCCGATAAAGTCCCAGTTGGGAATGGTCATGCCGGAGCCTAGGTGATATAGGATGGTGATGGTGAGAATTATGAAATTGGATATGGCCAAAGATAAACACCAGCAGATAGTAGCAACAAACCTTGATATGGCTTGGTGAGCGAGTGCTCCCGCTGCGGGTAGATGCCGATCTCCTCGTACTCATTGTGCTGATTCGCCCGGACCGAGCTTCCGCCGAGAAGTAGAACAAATGCAACAGTTATCACAATAGTAGAATGGGCCTGCTTCGGTGCTTGAGCCATGATCGAGCCTCTTCGTCCTCTTCTGCCGACGTCGTTGTCGGTGCAACTGATGATGAGCTGTACAATGGAAAAAGGCTTCAAACTGTGGCACACTGGTGATCACATAGGAGCGCAGGCACAACTGCTGCTGCTGCCACTGCTGAGGATGATGGTGGTGATGGTGGTGGCCCTGATGGTCGTGGTTGCGATGATAGTGTACGGCGAAAAGAGAGAGAGGTAACAGGCAGGCAGGCAGGGAAAAAACGGCTCTGCCGACGACGATCAATGAGGAAGCTATCAATACTGCTGGAAAGCTCGGCGCAAAAGTGACGTTAGCTTTAGCATCTCTGCCCAGTNGTGGTGGCCCTGATGGTCGTGGTTGCGATGATAGTGTACGGCGAAAAGAGAGAGAGGTAACAGGCAGGCAGGCAGGGAAAAAACGGCTCTGCCGACGACGATCAATGAGGAAGCTATCAATACTGCTGGAAAGCTCGGCGCAAAAGTGACGTTAGCTTTAGCATCTCTGCCCAGTGCACTGCACAGCTGTTGTGAAGCGGCGACGGCGACGGCGGCGCCGTCGAGCTCGTTCCAATCTCAGCAATGCTGCAGAGANCACAGCTGTTGTGAAGCGGCGACAGCGACGGCGGCGCCGTCGAGCTCGTTCCAATCTCAGCAATGCTGCAGAGATGCCGACTGCAGCGCCAACAGCTTTGTTGCTAATCTGATGAGCGAATTCTTTATCTTTCTGGATTCTCTGACCCGATTTAGAAACTCAGAATCTCTAATTTTATCCCCTATCAACTGAGATTACCAGAATNTGCACTGCACAGCTGTTGTGAAGCGGCGACGGCGACGGCGGCGCCGTCGAGCTCGTTCCAATCTCAGCAGTGCTGCAGAGATGCCGACTGCAGCGCCAACAGCTTTGTTGCTAATCTGATGAGCGAATTCTTTATCTTTCTGGATTCTCTGACCCGATTTAGAAACTCAGAATCTCTAATTTTATCCCCTATCAACTGAGATTACCAGAATTTTCTACCTTTCATTAGATCTCTGTTAATACCTTTTTTCACCGCTTTTAGTTCCAGTTTTCGCCACCAGAGGCCGCTAGCGATTCTTTCAAAAAATTAAAAATTGATCTTTTAGAACCAGAAATTCTTTCAACTTTCGAATCCTCTCATTTCACCAAAAAAACAAATAAAACACAGCAAATCTTATAATAGTAATAATGGTATTATATTTAATATTAAGAATAAGAAGAAGAGGTGTGTGAATCAGCGGGCGCATATACAGTTAGAAGTGTGTGTACAGAAAGAGTAAGATGAGAGAATGTGAAGGGATGGAGAGAGAANTTTTCTACCTTTCATTAGATCTCTGTTAATACCTTTTTTCACCGCTTTTAGTTCCAGTTTTCGCCACCAGAGGCCGCTAGCGATTCTTTCAAAAAATTAAAAATTGATCTTTTAGAACCAGAAATTCTTTCAACTTTCGAATCCTCTCATTTCACCAAAAAAACAAATAAAACACAGCAAATCTTATAATAGTAATAATGGTATTATATTTAATATTAAGAATAAGAAGAAGAGGTGTGTGAATCAGCGGGCGCATATACAGTTAGAAGTGTGTGTACAGAAAGAGTAAGATGAGAGAATGTGAAGGGATGGAGAGAGAAAAGGGAGTTCATGTTTACAGAAAGAAGATCAGAAGGTGAAGAAGGTGAAGGTGAGTGATGATGGTGGTGGTGGTGGTGATGTGGTGTGTGTGAATAAAATCTACCGAACAGAAGAAGAAGAAGAAAGGATTTAGAGCGTGTGTGGGGCCAGACAGGTAANAATGTGGTGGTGTGTGTGAATAAAATCTACCGAACAGAAGAAGAAGAAGAAGAAAGGATTTAGAGCGTGTGTGGGGCCAGACAGGTAATCAGGCGCTGACAAAAGAAAAAGAAGAAGAAGAATATGTCCAAAAGAAGGTCTGTGAGTGTGGTGAGGAGTGTGAGTGAGTGAGTGGTTTGTTGATGCAAACACAACGGTCATTTTCAGGTCAGGTCAGGTCAGATCAGATGTGGGTGGGCGGGTAGGTGTGTGGATGTGTATGTTTCAGTTCAACGAAGAATATAGAAAATCTGGGAGGTTCTCTGTGAAGAAGGGAAGGGGAGGGGAGGGAGGAGGCAACAGTTGAAGAAGTAACAGTGGAAAAGATCAGTAGTGGTAAAAGAGGGTGCTGGTGGATACGGATGGTCATTGAAGAAGTTCAATAGGGTATTTTTCAGATAAGAGGAGGAGAAGGAGGCAATTTACGAAACTAGTTGCAGGAGAAATTTAGTAGAGGATGGAAAAAGGTTCGAATAATGCTCAATTTGGTAGTGGTAGAAAAAGCTGCGAAATTTTGAAGTTTCCTTTTTAGGTTGAAAAAAATCAGGTGTTTCGGCTGGAAAAATCGAGGGTGTGAGTGTGTATGTGGTACAAAAGCGTGAGCAATTGTGGACGTGTGTGGGCGTAAAAAGATGGCATGGAAGATGGAAGAGTGAGATGTCAGATGACTTTACAAGTGTTTGTTCCAGAGAGAAAGAGAGTTTGTACAGGAGATTTAACAACGATAAGAAGAAGAGGAGGAGATGGAAGATGGAAAATAAACAAAAGAGGGTGGAGGGAGGGAGGAAGGGAGGGGAGAATAATACAAGAAGTATAGTAATTTACAAAAAAAATACACACAAACTGTACAAAAGAAAAAGGAGAGAAAAATACAAGAATTTGATAAGTCAATGAGATGGAGACGATTTAGGAATTTGCTGAGAGGCTTTTGCTGCTGTTGCATTTGCTGATGTTGTTGTTAGGATCACGGTGCCAGTGTGGGCGTCCTCCAGTGATGTGCAAACATAAAGAGTGAGATGGAGTTCTGAGTATGGCCACAGGGTAGTGTGGCGATGATGGTGACCAGAAGCGAATTTTAGATCTTATTTTGTTTCGCATTCTAATTAAAAGTTATCGTATTGCATCATCAGTGTTGGCAAATGGCGTTGGTGTGAGGGAGGGAGGAGGGGAAAGGGGTGTGCCAAAAATGGAGGAGGAGGAAGAGGAAATGCACAGGTGTTGACTTAGAGTGAATGAAGAAGAGGAAGAAGACGAGGAATCTTCGAACAAAAGTGCTACCAGAGAAGGCGAGAGAGAAGGGGAGAAAACAAGAAGAGTGTGGTCATCATCGAAAAACAAGGAGGAAGCTTAAGTAGCGTGACGATAAAAAAGAAGGAGGAGAAGGGAAAGAACTTGATAAGAAGAGTCGTCGATTGATGTGCGATGAATCGAGAGGGAGATGGAGATGGAGATAACGAGTGTGAGAAGATCGAGGTTGATGCATCAGCTCTTCAGTGAAGAAGGGTTGGCAGAGAGAAGAGAGGGAGAAGACCATGGATGGGCTCGAGGTATTCGAAGGGAGTGAGAGAGAGAGAGAGATAGAAAAATAAAATAGATCAACGATGAAGAGGAGAAGAGAAGGAGGAGTTCGTGGTGCCAAAGAAGAAGAAGATAATGACGTGCAGCACACGTAGTAGTTCAATGACTGTGTTTGTGGTGGTGGTGGTGGTGGTAGTGGTGTTGGTAGTAANTTTGTAATCTGTGGTCGGTTGTAATCTTGAAAAGAGAAGAAAAGAGTGAGAAAGAGAGAATATCACATAAAAGTTGCAAGGTAGAAGAGAGAGAGAGAGAAAGAGAGAGGGAGTGAAAGAATCGAGAAGAGAAGAAAGTGGTACGCTGATTGAAAAAGAAAGAGAAATGTTCTTCCTTTTTCAATCAGATAGCATTGGTCCTCGGTCGATGGATGACTTTTGTGTGTTAGGATTTTGCAGTGATTTTTGTCTGTTTGTTTGTTTAGGTTTGTGGTGGTAGTAGTGGTTTTGCACGTCGCTCGATGTTGTTGTTGCTGTTTTTTGTTGGTTATCTTTGTGATGTTGGTTATTTTTACTTTGGCGCCACGCCTTCTCGGGGCTCTTTATCGCACACTTCTGCTGCTGCTGCTGCTCACCGGCGTCTGCCTCTGCCTCTGCCGCTGCTGCTGCTGCGTTTGTCACACCGTATCGATCACCGTCATCAATCGTGAAAGTATTTTGTTTTTAGAGAAAGAAAAGATAGATGGGAAAATTTAGCCTAGCCAAAATTTTGTGGGATCTTTTAGTTTGGGGTTTTGTTGTTTGGATGCCTCTTTTGCAAATTTTGTTGTTGTCTAACTTATCGTTGTATCATTGTTGTACCTCTGCTGCTGCTGCTGTGGAACAAACAGCAAGTGTTGCAGTGATTTGAAGTGTTTGTTTGTGTGTGGGGGAGTGTAAGCTCGATTTGACCTGACGAAACGAAACGAAACGAATGA